GGCTCCGGACCCGCAGGCTCAGCGGCCGTGGCTCACGGGCCCAGCCGCTCTGCGGCATGTGGGATCTTCCCGGACCGGGGCACGAACCCGCGTCCCCTGCATCGGCAGGCGGACTCTCAACCACTGCGCCACCAGGGAAGCCCCTAGACTACAAGCTTTTTGAGAGCAGCGTCTTTTCTTAGATTTCTTTTGTGCCCTGGCCACTCCCCGTTCTGTTCTGCCTAGTCCCTAGACAGTGCTGGGTTTGTGAAAAGCAGTGACTTAGCCGACCAGTCACTGGGTCCCTGGTGGCCTTGTCAATCTCTCTTGCTGTGAAAGAGCAGCTTCCTTTCCACTTTTCCCGCAGCCACAGATGGAAGTCTCGTTACCTCCGAAGTTTCATATGCCTTATGCTTTCCAGAGGTGCTGTGATGTCTAGAAAACACATTCACGATAGCCTGTCTAAGCAACAGAAAGCTCATTCACTCATTAACATACTGTGACAGGTGGCTATTTAGGAGAACATCAGAATATACATACTATTAAAGATTATTCAGGTGGGCAATCATACAAACACTACTGGGAACATTTTCTCCAACCTTACTGCCTAGCTAGCTGTCATCTGGGAAAGAATGCTCTTCAGTTAAGGCTGATTTGAACCTCTTTGGAACTGACAAGATAGTCAGTCTGTGTTTCAGAGGTATCCTTCTAGTATACAAATGCAAACGGTTTGCCCCTTTGGTGGGAAATGAACACTTCACGAGCGCCCAAGCCTGTTACCAGACACGGTGTCATGCCAAAAATGGCAGCTCTTTCTAAAAGACTCCAGTCTCTGTGGCCACATCACATTGAGTCTGGTTTCAGAATCAAATCTTCCACTTCGTGGGTTTTGAGAAGAGGCTGCCGGTACGTAGAGGCGGGAGCCAGACACACTTGGAGAACTGGGTCTTAATCTCTTAGACAATACATAAATTGGGGGAAGAGCAGAGGACTCCCTCCTCTTGACTGTAAGACTGAAAATACTCATCTGCTGCTGTTCAAATGTGACTTCCTTGCTGCTTAGGATCTGGAACGGCTCTGGCCTGATGTGAGAGATTCTAGATGTTGATCAGAAACCATTTTCAAGATAGTGTTGCCTGTGTGGAAAAGCTTACCTGCCCGTGCCCAAGGCATGAGTTTTGACTCAGCAAAGCTTCAAGAAGCCATCTCCTCTGACCACCCCGGCCCTGCCTCCCTCTTAATGCATCTTTCTGACTTGGTCATGTATTTCTGATACAAGAAAGCTGAGCGAATGCGAGTGAGTGGTTTAGAAGAGGCAGAGAAGAAAAAGTAATATGCAAATAGCATTCTCAAGAGCAGAAATAGTATGTAACTGGAAAATGGCCTGTTTGGGGATACACAGTTTTAGGGACCCATGTGCAATTTACATGCCCAGCCTAATTTTTTTTTTTTTTTTTTTTGCTGTATGCGGGCCTCTCACTGCTGTGGCCTCTCCCGTTGCGGAGCACAGACTCTGGACGCGCAGGCTCAGCGGCCATGGCTCACGGGCCCAGCCGCTCCGCGGCATGTGGGATCTTCCCAGACCGGGGCACGAACCCGTGTCCCCTGCATCGGCAGGCGGACTCTCAACCACTGCGCCACCAGGGAAGCCCTGCCCAGCCTAATTTAAATCAGTTCCTGTCTCCCCTTCCACTTCTGATGATTCATATACCCAGCTGCGGCCTTTGGGGAAATCCTAAGAAAAACAGCTCTGTTCCAGGCTGCACTGAGCCTGCTTTTCTTCTTCCCAGCAGAATCTAAATGTTATCTTAACAACAGTCGTGGTAATAGTGATGCTGTCTGATCTCAAGGAAACTGTGTTGTGCTAAGTGGAATTTTTAAAAAGCTCTTTCACCAGAGTCAGCAAACCTCCTGTGTTGCGAAGGCCAGGCCGAGTCCCCTGCTTTAATGCAGCATCTCCCTGACACCCGGTTCGTTTCTGATTAACCAGAGCAGGTGCCCCAGGCCGCTGTGCAGGAGGACCTCAGCGTCGGGGTCCGGCGGCAGCTCCAGGATTATGAGCCTTCTGGCAGTCGGTGCAGGTACAAGGCCCTGGTGGATACTTAGAGGGCAAACCTCTCATTATTTTGTTTTCTGCCTAAAGCCCCAAGGATATGGAATTCCAGTATACAGCAGTAATTTGCTCTCTGGATTAAAAAGTCTAAGTATCCTCTCAGCCTCACTGGGATAGAAAGAATATTCGGCCCAATCCCTGGCACCCAGGAGTTTTAGTCAGAACACTTTTTGATATATTTTCAGGTGTGAGGAAAGAATTTGGCAGCTCCACTGAGCATTCTGTCCAGGAGGTGAAGGGCTGTCTGGGAGAGACCAAGACCCTGTATATTTCCTCTGTGAGAGAAATACCTTCTTTATTATCTTCTAAAATAAAGGTATCGGTCTGAGATGAAATGGAATTCTCCTTGACCGAATCCCTTCCGGAAAGGCCCATCATCTAAGGACCAGAGACCAGGTGTGTGAATTCTCTCCTTACTGAGGGAGACCACACAGATCTCACCCGAACAAGTGAATGATGGACACCGTCCTGAGGGTAAGAATAGAACAAGAGCTCCTGCCCATCAAATAATCAATTAGACCTGGACGTGCACGCGCACGCACACACGTATGCAACTCACACGTGCACGCACGTTTCATAGACATACAGGTCATCAACCTGCACTGATGGGCCAGAGGAGACAGGGGCCCTACAATTCTTAGACGAATGATGAGTGGATTCCTCGGCCATTTCAGCTCATACTGAAACGACCATTAGTTCTTCACAAAGGCTTCCCACTTGGGATTTCCAGAGAGGGAAGGAAAGAAAGGTCTGCAATGCAAGGGAAGGAAAATAGCAACAATAGGAATCATTTTCTGAGGGCTTATTCTATGCCAAGTACAGTGGTGCAAGTGGCCTTTCATTTAATCCTCCAGGCAAAGGTAGTGGTGATATTATGAAGAATGGTATTGGAGAAGGAAAAACGAACAAACAAAGTAGGCCTTCAAAGCTTGCTTTCAACCAAGTAACATCGTATCACTCCTCCTCATTTCATCTGAGTTCAAAGGAGCGTTTTCTGTCACCCTCCCCTCCCCCCCATGGAAGTGAGGGGAGGCCACAGGGAAGGCAATGATGACATGATTCTGAACGACAAGACTCTTCCAGTCTCCTCCTTCCATCTCACTCTGTATGGTCTACCCTGTCACCAGCTGCAGGAGAATAAGAGGGCATGGATCTCTATGCCTGAAAAACACTTTTTGTTCCACGTGACTTCTCTCAAAGGTGAAGTGTAAGGCCCATTAGAAAGGTCAAGCGCCAGCAATCCCACTACTGGGCATATACCCTGAGAAAACCATCATTCAAAAAGAGTCATGTACCAAAATGTTCATTGCAGCTCTATTTACAGTAGCCAGGAGATGGAAGCAACCTAAGTGTCCATCAACAGATGAATGGATAAAGAAGATGTGGCACATATATACAATGGAATATTACTCAGCCATAAAAAGAAACGAAATTGAGCTATTTGTAATGAGGTGGATAGACCTAGAGGCTGTCATACAGAGTGAAGTAAGAAAGAGAAAGACAAATACCGTATGCTAACACATATATATGGAATTTAAGAAAAAAAAAAATGTCATGAAGAACCTAGGGGTAAGACAGGAATAAAGACACGGACCTACTAGAGCGTGGACTTGAGGATACGGGGCGGGGGAAGGGTAAGCTGTGACAAAGCGAGAGAGAGGCATGGACATATATACACTACCAAACGTAAGGTAGATAGCTAGTGGGAAGCAGCCGCATAGCACAGGGAGATCAGCTCGGTGCTCTGTGACCACCTAGAGGGGTGGGATAGGGAGGGTGGGAGGGAGGGAGACGCAAGAGGGAAGAGATATGGGAACATACGTATATGTATAACTGATTCACTTTGTTATAAAGCAGAAACTAACATACCACTGTAAAGCAATTATACTCCAGTAAAGATGTAAAAAAAAAAAAAAAAAAAGAAAAGAAAGGTCAGGCGGTTGTGGGATTGTGAATTGGTAAGATCATCTGAATCAAAATTAGATGACAGTGTAATCGATACCGACCACTGAAGATTCAGAATGACTGTATGTGTGTGTATTCAGGTCAGCGAGCTGTGGGCCTGGTCCTGCACATCCCAGGCGCTTTGCTGTGCTCTATGGAAGAGCTTCTTACTTCCATTTTCCTTCTCAGCAGGACACTTAGCAAACCGCCCAGTGACAGGCCTAGCATCTCTGTCCCCTTCCAGGGTTCCCCAAGGCAGTACTGGTTAATGCCATCACTTCATTTTCACAGAGGCCCCTCTCACCATTCACTGGAATTTGATACATAAATTGAGCTCTTTTTGTCCCTTCTCTTTCGGCGCACAAACACCCCAATGGGCTAGGAGGGTAGCTGGTCTGCAGAGGAGAAAAACTAGCCTCACAGAAATGAGGAGTGATGTCCTGACCCTGGGTATGACCCTCGAGGGGCACAGCTGAGAGGAACTTCTGTAGTCTTTTTTTTTTTTTTTTTTTCCATTTGGAGAATGATGCTAAAAAACCACCATTAATACAGTTTTCTTGAGAGTCGTATCAGAGTTTTATGTTATTTGAGGTGATTTTCCCTCTATTGTGTGGAGCCCTTAACATAGAATCCTGTGAGAATATGGTCTAAGGATAATGCCCCATCAGTCACCCTGACATGATTTCTCCATTGTTGTGGGAACTTTCAGGCCAACCTGCACTTTTAAATCCCTCATATGCTCTTCCAAGTAATTTGGCGTGTGCCGAAAGTAACTGTTATTTTCGATAACTGCTTTTCTTTCTACAAAGACAAAAGCAAGTGAAAAGAAGACAACTCTCTACCAGAAACTGAGTTCTTGTGAAGCAGATAAACCTCCATACGCTATTATATCCCTAACGCAGCTCACGCAGCCAGCAATCAACATGCTACATTTTAGCAATGCAAGTTGAGAAAAAGGATTTACCTTGGAGTCCAGCTGCTGCATGTATGACCAGAGATATTCTATATTGGCTCCAAAAGGGTGGACGTGAAGAAACGTTGATATGATGCCTGAATTAAAAAGACAAACACTGGGCATTATTGAGAGGCAAATAAAAGTCTCAGGCGAATAATGTCATCTGACCCCAGTGACAGTTTTGTCAGGCTGAGTCGCGGTCTTGCCATTTCTAACGACTCTCGGCAAGCATTCAATAACTGCACATTTTGAAGACGGTAATGGTAACACAGCCAACAGAACACTGTCTCCTGGAACGACAGTAGTTGGAAAAGCGAGACTCTGAGAAAACACATAGATGAATGAAGGTATTTCTAAACAAAGACTCCTGGAAGCATTTCAACTACCAATTTTATGCTTGATTTGCCAATATAAAACTGTAGTTACTGGAAGGATAAAATGATCCCTTTTCTTTCCCTCACTAGACTCTGCAGTATGAAAACCGCTCCTACAGCTGTGTCAAATTCCCCTGATAATTACAGCTGCTAGTTACAAAGAGTTTTTAATCCATATTTCCCCTCATTGCCACTGAGGGAAGCACAAATCCTCTGCCGTTTCCCCCTGGATCTTGCTGTTGTTTTAACGGATCTAGCCTGCGCTCTCCTTCCTGCTGCTGTAATTTACAAGACCATTTTAAAAGGCCCAGGAATGGACGGTTTGGTTGGAGTCTGATTATAAATCAGAGGGCTTTTCCATCGTGAAGTTCAACTGTCAACATTGTGCTGACAAATGAAAAGCTGAAAGGTAGCGTCGGGGCTGACGTAAAAGCATTACCCTCCTACCCTCCCTGCTCTTATAACCAAAATCAAAATGGTGAAAATGAGGACGTCAACTCCATAGGCTGTATGCTCCTATTTGTTAAGGAACTGTGTTCAGACTGATATTTTGGCTTCTCTTTGAAACAGGCTTTGAGATGAATCAAACTTGAGGATAAGGCCTCAACGTTCTGTTTATTGTGATGCTTTGGTGCTCGAAAGCCAAAGGTCAGAGGGAAGACCCACACTTGTATGAAATGCAGTCAGGGCAAGCATAGGCCAAGCACATCGTTCTGCACTAAGTCATCCTATGAATTGCAGGGTGGCCTTGGATTGACCTGGGATAGGGTCTCATGGCCCCCTGATCCCCTGTGTGATGCTTGGGATGCTCTGGATGAGTGTCAGTTTTTAAAGAAAAGTTCTCAGTTTATCCTTAGGCTGAGAACAGAGAACCAAAGAGTCTACACAAGTACTTTCCAGACCTATCCTCAGAACACTGCTTTTATGTGGGTTTTCTTGGTGGACAGTGAAATGAACACAGAGACGGTTAGTTACATTTCTCCATAAAGCTAAAACCTCAGTCTTCAGAGACTGACCTTTTCCCTGAGATATAAAGAACTCCTGTTTCATTCTGAGATTATGTTCTTCGTTTTTTGTTAAAATGTCCTTCTCTGATGAAATAATGGTGATGATAGAAGGTAACAATGGTAGTTTTAATCTCTTTAAGTGGCAAATAGCCATTTTTAATATACCTAAGTGGGATTGTTTTGTCCCCCTCCTGTACCACTTTGTTAATTTATGTTTTAACTGTATAGACCTGGCAACAACTTCCCTGTGTCTGAAATTCTCAAATCTCGTGAGGTGGCACTATAAGTAATTGCGTTACCAATAAGAGTTAAAGTACAGAATCTCATGAATGATTTACTTAGAAAATAAATGAGAATACAAGTATTAAAAAAAATACCATTTGCATTCCTTAAGTGGGAGAGAGGGGGCAGAATTCTCATGGGGAATTGATTTTTTTTTTTTGGCCTCGCCATGGGGCGTGGCTTGTGGACTCTTAGTTCCCCGACCAGGGGTGGCACCTGGGCCCTCAGGAGTGAAAGCACCAGGTCCTAACCGCTGGACCGCCAGGGAATTCCCAAGGGGAACTGCTTCTATTTCAGGATGGTGAGTGGGGCTTTCCCTGTTGTCCCAGGCTGAGGACAAGCGGTGCTATGTCTGCTGCTTTCCACAGACAGCCTCCAACTAAAGGTGGGCGGACCCCTGCCCCCTATAAGGAGGAAAGGAGGACGGGGAAGGGAGGAGTAGTAGTCAGTGCTGGCTGGCTTTGTGAGAAGGCGAGGGTGTTCCTAGTGAGAAGCTTTTCTCTTCTTTTAAAGAAGAGACGCTCCCAGGGAGCGCCTCAAGAGAGCAGCTTGTAGAGACTGGGGTGTGGGGGGGCCCTGCAAGGCCGCGAAGCACATTCCTTTCCCTGGCTGGACTTCTGCTTAGGCAGCAGACTGACTAATCTGGCTTTGTGCCCAGCCGAGCACAGGGGAGGCGGTGGGGTGCTGTAGCCTCTGGGTGACAAGAATGTGTGAGTTTCCCATGGGACAAGGGGGTATCTCAGAAGGTAGATGGGCTTGAGCAGCCTTACAAGTATCCCAAGGGCCCCAGCAAATAGAGAAAAACATTTTTTATGTTACTATCCCTACAGGACAAAGAATCATCAACATCTCCTGGATAACCTGCAGCCTCTCCTATCAATGCCCCTGGGAGTGTGACATGAAGTTAGTTAAATGCCTCCAAAAGAATGAATAGGATGGTTCAGAAAAGGATGGGGGTGGGGGCTATGGGGGAGTGGCTGACAACTCTTTTTTTGCCGTAGGCGGGCCTCTCACGTTGCGGAGCACAGGCTCCGAACGCGCAGGCTCAGAGGCCATGGCTCACGGGCCCAGCCGCTCTGCTGGCATGTGGGATCTTCCCGGACCGGGGCGCAAACCCGCGTCCCCTGCATCGGCAGGCGGACTCTCAACCACTGCGCCACCAGGGAAGCCCAGACAACTCTTGACCTAAGAAGATGAAGGAGGAAATTCAGGGATACCAGAAGTGGGAGGACCTGGGGTGGCCGCTTTTCTTGCCTCTGTGATGATGGCCTCCCTCACTGTTTACTGTCCCACAGCCCTAAACTTGGGTCTGTAACCCCAAGGAACTCTGCCCTTAGACAGTATTTGTGTGTTCTGGTTCAGTAGCAGGAATACAGTATACAGTTACAAGAAATGTACGTTGAATGAATTTATTCTCTAGAACTGAGAATGGCCAGTGTACTTCTTTAAAATTTCTACTGTTCTATTATCGACAAATCAGGAGAAATAAGAATCTTAAAAATTGCTACCAGTACTAACCAAGGATGTAGTACTCTTTCAAATACCAGGTGACTTCGAGGAATTATTCATCAGTGATTCCTGCCCTTAACTCATCCTGTTATGAATTCAGGACAGAGTAACTTGGATATTTCGGGCATGGAAACTTTTTATTGAAACTATTTTGCTCATAAAGCTAAGGGGGAAATGCATGTGTGATTTCTATATCTCTTTCTAAAATCAGATTAGAAATCCTAATCCGGACATGAGTATTTTTCCCTAGGAGAGTATTTAGAACCATCTTAGTGGTAGCTGATGTTAACAAGCCATTAGCTTTTCTTTATAAAAGTTGAGCAATTGCCACTGAAGACATGTGGGGTCAAAGCAGGTAGTTAAAAAAAGGTTTTCCAAGCTTTTCCTCTGGATGGCAACCAAGTTCTTCAGTATCGCTAGAGATACAGTGGAAATGGGAACACCCTTAGTCATCATCCTCCAAGTACTGCACCCCTCCTCCCCGCCTTGATCCTGCCCACGCCAGTGGCATCACAGAAGCATCAGTCACGGCGTCTGAGAAAATGTAGTTTCTAGGCCCTGGCTCTGGATCAGATTCACTTTGGGGAAGTTTCCTAAACAATCCAACTAAAGCCTCTTAAAGCTCCTTTAAAGGAACTGGGATATTTCCTGAGAATGGTGGGGGGAAAAAAAAAGGATCGCTGTAACTCAAAATCCCATGAAAAATGCTACAAACCCAGAACTGGAAACTATTTATGGTTCTCTGGAAGACCATAAACACTGTAAAGGCTGGGTAAAAGGAACACTAGGAACTGAGGGTGGAGAGCTCAGCCATTACTGAACTGGTGGATCTCCAAAGGGATGACTCAAGAATCGGTCTTGGCTGGTCCCATGGAGAAGCGAGGTCTCCACATTGAAGAATGGGCTTCCCAACAGTGGAAAATACAACTGTAAGTAGCTAATTTAAGAAAATAAAGAAGGAATAGAGGAGGCTGTCAGTACTCTTGAGTTTCCTGCACAGTTCAGGGCCTGAAACACTACTTTAGAAAGATACACAAACCAGCTCCAGACAGCACATGGCAAATCCCTCATTAGGAAGGCTCATTTAAACAAGCACGTAAAGGCATTTTGAGCTTTTCCCATCAACATCATCTCGTTTATTCTCATTTTTAGATGTCACCAAGACCAAGGGAGTGACATTTAAATTAACCAAGTAGTGCTAGATTTTTACTCATTCATTTCCTTAGCAGCAATTAGATGCCAAGGTCCTAGGGACACAGCATTGCCCAGACAGACAAGGTTCCCGCTCTCGGAGAACTTATATTCTAGGTAAGCAACACAGACGATAAACGCAAAGATTAAAAAAGGAGGTATTTCCAGAGAGTGGTGGGCATATTGCAGAAAACAAAACAGGTAATAGGACAGGAGTGGGGAGTATCCTCAAGCTTGGTGGAGGGCTGCTTTATAGGAGGTCAAGGAAGGTGAATTTGTCCGTGTGTCAGATGAAGAGGAGTCAGCCACAGAGAGCCTGGGGGGAAGGTGACTCAGGTACAGGCACCAGCGACTGCAAAGGACCTGAGGTGGAAATGGGGTGGCAGGAACAAACTTGGCTTCAGAGTGGTGCAGCATGCGTTTAGAGGTAGGTGGGGAGCCAGATCACGTAGCGTCCCAGTTTAAGGGGGCTGGATTAAGCTCTAAACATAGCAGGAAACCAATGGAAGGGTTCTAAGCAGGGACATGATATGAGCTGAATTATGCTTTCAAATTTTCATTCAAGCTGCTGTATGGTGTATGGTGAATAGACAAAAGGGAAACTGGGAAACCAATTAGAAGTGTTTGCAACAACCAATGGATCACTGAAGAAATCAAAGAGGAAATAAAAATATACCTAGAGACAAATGACAACTAAAACACCACGATCCAAAACCTATGGGACACAGCAAA